TTGTTAACTTTTGCAATAGTCTGGGCAAGAAAGTAGGAGCAGAAATGGAATTATGGCACCTGAAGAAACAGAGCCTTCTGGCTTACAGGTGCAAGGAGAAAGAGAACAAACAAGGGCAGAATGTAAGATTCAGTCCAGCATAAATCTAAGCACTTTAGTCTGACCTGGATACGGCTTTTGCTGTGTCTTCTTAACTCCTTTATTTTATTGGCTCCTTTATTAAAGCTCGTACTTTATGCTGAAAGATTTAGTACTCACTTTTTCCTTCCTTACAACTTGCAGGAGGATTATCTATTAATCCAAATGCTGACACTCACTCATTTCCATTACAAAAATAGCCCTGATCTATAACAGGATCCTCACTGCAACCAGATGAGCCTTTAAAACCAGCCTGGGAAGAAAATGATTCTCAACACTCTAGATTCCATGTTTATTATGTGAGCCTTAACTATGTTTTATGTTAATGAAATTTAGCATCAAAAGCAATAGAACATCAAATTGAGATAAAAAACAAGCATAATAAATACAGAGCCTCTCATCTTATTCATTCCCTCACTCGGTAAGTACTAAGCAGAAAGCACAGTGCTAGGTGCTTCCCAAGCACACAAAAGGATCAATCTTTTGGGAGGTATAAATTATGGCAGGGGATATCTGGTGAAAAAATAATAATAATATGTGATCAGATATAATATGTCGCAAAAGGAGATGTATAGCATATATGACATTTCAGAATTTAAGGAGTGGTTACTTCTGGTTGTAGTAATCGTGGTGGCTTGAAAAAGTTGGGGGTATCTGAGCTGAGGCTCAGTTCCATAGGTATTTCAGGTGGGGGAGACTTCACAAAGAAGGGGAGCCAGGGGGGATGTGTGTTGCAGAGCAAGGGTTCAGTCTGGTTGGAGCACAAGCCATGTATAAGGAATCTGCCACAGTTAAGTTTGGAGGGAGCTGACGTCTGAATGCCCGTGGAGCGGGGAACTGTGCAGGGCAGGCTGACGGGAGGTTTTGAACAGGAACTGGAATGATCTGAGACTGAGTTTTAAGGCGATTAATGTTGGCAGTAGTAGATAAGCAGTAGATAAGACAGATTAAGGGGAAGAGAGATTGGACACCATTTAGGAGGCTATTGAAATAGTCCAGGGCAGCGGAAATGGGAGTCTGAAATGAAGGTGGAGGCCGGGGAAATAGAAAATGAAAGAGCAGATTCAAAAGGTCTTAGCCAGAGATCCTCAAGTCACTCTTTCTCAAGCAGCAGGAGAACACGAATCAGAGCTGTGGTTGTCGTTGTTGTTCTGGTCCACCTAAATCACATTTGCTATATTTTAAAGTACACTTTTTATTGCCTGATTTCAGGACGTGGCAGTGTCACAGTGGTACCCACTTGTTTTTGGAGTGCTCTCCAATGTACAAAACCTACTAATTATGTTATTTTTAAAGTGCTGTCCAATTATTAAGTAAGAATTCTAGTTGAAGAACTAAAACATACACAGGGTAAAATTCCACACAGTACACAGTGGTACGTGGAATAAAAATTCTTCTTTTATCTAAGAGACTCTGTCTGTATCTGAGAAGCAACTACTGCTATTACTTTCTAAGATGTTGTTCAGAAATGTTGTATGCATTTACAAGCTTCAATACATGCCTGTGTTCTCCATCTTTGGATCCAAAATATACTGCCATTCTACAATTTGATTTTCTTTACCTCTCTGCTTCCACAATGCTTTCTCTAGTTAAGAGCTTCTCAACTCATCACTATTGACAGTTGGGGCTGGATAATTCCTTGTGTGTGGACTGTCCTGTGCAGTATAGATCACAGGTATGTAGAAAGCATCCCTAGCCTCTCCACCCCAGATACCCCTGAGTTGTGACAACCCAAAAGGTCTCCAGCTATTGCCAAATATCCCCTAGGGGGCCAACTTCTCCTGGTTGAAAATCACCACACCAGTAGGTCATTTCTATCACTCTTCATTTTATTAAATCCAGCTGTTTATGTTCTTCTCCCCACAAGCCTGTATGCTTCTTTACAGAAGGTATGACATATTAATCATTTCTTTATTTTTCTCACATAGTACTTTGGTCACACTATCTGCCTCACATAGAATTGTTAAATGAAATAAGTAGACATGGCATTGAATATAATTAATGTTACATCTTAAACACCATGAAGTTCTCATTAAGGTAGAAAGTAGTTACAAAGTAATGCATGCTAATAATTTTCCTCGGTACTGTGGGAGTTACTAAGCATCAAAGACATTTTCATCATTATTTGGAGAGGCAAAAAACTTTACAGATGACAAGAATACCAACCATGTAAGGCAGAGTATATGGTGCTCAAATAAATGATGCAGAGATAAATTCTATTGAATTTAGAGGAAGCACAGACACAAGCCTTATAGTTATGTCATTGGACAGTTTTTGAATAAATGGTTTATACATTAATGTGTTTGTGTGTGTGTGAGAGAGAGAGAGAATGCATGAAGATTGCACTGCTTGAGGTGACTGGCATGCTGGGGCTATGAAGACTCTGGCAAAACTAGGAAGTTAAGAATTATGGGTTTCTCATTGAAAGCTTGAGGCACTGGCTTTAGCTCTTTCATCAAATTATTCTGAAGACCTGAATGGGGTAGTGTAGGAAGATAGCTGATTCTGGATTTTTTACTGATGTTTTAAGGAGTATATATTCCAAGAAATGTAATGTGTAAGGTGGCCCCCAAAAAACCTCTTTCCTCCTTCCTTCTTTCGTTTTATCCTTCAGCAAACATCTGCCAAGTGCCAAACACCACGTGCCCTGTGCCAGGTGTGGGGAATGCAGCTGTGAGCAGGATGCTGGGAAGGGTTCAGTTCTGATGGAGGTTTGATCAAACAGTGACTTCACATATTATATGAACTCTGAAAGATCCTACTGTTATTCCTAATCTCCAAACTATCTGCGTTCATAATGTATATCTATGCTCTATTGTCTCTGTACATAGTAAAGGCAATTACTACCTCAAACACCTTCCAGATGTGTCAAAAACATTAAGCTACACTGCCCACAGTAATTGATTTGCCACCGCGGTGCTACTGCCCCAGGACTGAAGAGCAGCAGATATTCTGTGCATGTGAAATAACGGCCTAGATGTTTGGGTGAGACAGTGAGGAGTGAATCTCTAATGAAATTGAAAATATAGCTACAGTTGGGAAGCAGCATGTAATTATGCAGCTGGAATTTGGCCAGTGTGGTAGGTAGATTCCGTCAGTTCCTAAGGAAGGGGGCATAGAACTTTATTTTTAAAAGATTCTATCCATTCATTTTTAGAGAGAGGGGAAAGAGAGGGAGAAAGAGAGGAAGAGAAACATTGGCATAGGAGAGAATCGTTGATCAGCCACTTCTCCTAGGTGACCTGACCTGGGAATGGACCTGCAAGCCCTGTATATGCCCTGGTCTAGGATTGAACCAGTGACCTTTTGCCTTGAGGGACATTGCCCAACCAACTGAACCACACGCATCAATGCTGAAGCATGTGAATTTTAAAGTATACTACACTTGAGCCATGAACGTATTTCTGACTCAAGTTCAAAGGTACCCATTACCTTTGGAATCTCCACCAAGAAGTACTACCTTCTTGACAATCTCACCAAAGAGTTCAGAGCCTCAGTTGTTGGATGGGAGTCATGACAACATTTACTCAGGAAAGTTTACTTCTTTTGTGTCGACAGACACACTTATATAGTAGATATTTAGAAAAGCTCTGTTACTGTTTTGCAACGCAAGCTCTGTAAGTAAGGGGTAGAAGACACATCAGTATCATCTCGCTGCTGGAAGCTAAATGCTGTTTAGGAAACAATCTGCCCAGTCCTCAATCTGGGTGGGCAAGGCTTTTTTGATTGTGGACTTGAGAACTTATTGAAAGCTACGAATGTGCTATCTCCTGCCCACTATTCCACCCCCCCCCCACTCTCTCTTGTGCTTTCAAATGATGCACACCTATATACAATGAGGGCCTCTTCTTCCCTGAATTCAATTCATGGGCCCTGACACTCCAGGTTTAGAAACTCTTATTTGGTCAGATTGGTTTTCTGTATTTTGCTACTTCAGGAGAAGAGACCTAAATTCTCTCCTGCAACTCTTGGGCTGCTAAGGAAATCTTCTATCACATCTGCTCTCTCTAGAAGGTGAATTGGGCTCAATGAAAGGCACATAAAGAGGGCTTACATGTTGAGTTTCTCTTATCTTGATATATAATGGACTTTATCTCATCAAAAATTTGTTTTATTTTCTGTGTTCTATAGAAATGATAGAGAATAATTATATAAACTGAGTTTCAAACTCACAGGAAGCTTAATTCTAAATGTCTTAGAGTTGGTTACTTAAAAATGTTTCTAAAAAGATTTTGCACATTCTAAGTACTTTAGTGTTACTAATATGCTATGATTTTCACTGAGGGTATCTGAATCAAATAATTCAAGTGGATTTTATTTCCTTGGGATAGATAAAATAAATTACCCAACACTCAATACACCAGGTATATTTTGAAGCTGCTTCTTCAAAACCAGTGTTTTTGATTGAAGACTTAGAATAATATTTACATTATCTTACTGAGTAGTCTTTTAAAAGTATCTAGTTCTCACAGCTGACACTCATTTATCCTTTCTTCCTTGTTTCTTTCCTCTATTATTTATTATTATTAGACATATTGAGATATTCAATCAATACATTATTGAGTATCTACTCTACAAAGCATTGTGTCAGATGGGATGGGAAGTTCAAGGATGTATAAGGCAGGTCTTCTGGAGAATATAATCTATTATTGAAGGTAAGACATGTACTGGAATAATATAAAATTAATGTTATGACTAAAAGTTATAGTTTTGCTTGTAGAATTTAAATATATTTATTATATTTATCTGACGATTAACTATATTTTATCTCAGAACTCCACAGTAAATAGAGGATTCAATATTACCACTTTGAAAAGCTTTTATGAAATAACTTTTTTAAAAAATTATTGTTTATTTCCTACCAGACAGGGCTGTCAAATTTGCATTTTTGTTGAAAACTTCAGTTATTCCAAGCGCCTTCAAAACATCTTTTAAATCAATTTCCTGTTCCACTGTGAACCTGGAGAACACATAGGGAGGAAAATAGTTTGTTATAGCATTTTAAAAGTATTTTGTTACTGTATCTTGTTGGCTGAGACAAAAATAAAATGTTAGACATGTTGCTTTTTAAAGTCTTTTGAGAGGAAAAATTATGCTACAACTGGCTTTTGCCTACAAGTAGTATTTGATTGCATTTGTAAAAAGAGGAGGAGTGAAATAAAATAACAGAAAAGTATTAAGTTATTAAGTAGAAAAAATATATGATATGGACACAAAACCATAATACATGGTGGAATAAATGAATTTTGAGATCAAGAATCATTACCATAGTACTATGTAAAACTTGTAAATGAATAGCATTAAAAATCCTTTAACCTGGTAATATAGTTGCTTTTTAAAGCTGGTATTGATTAATCATACATTTACCCAAGGGGCTTCCTTCTCTTCTTCATATTCTGGTCAACTTCCTACCCAATGGAAAACATTAAATAAGAATTATATTTTGCTGTAAAGTGAATACATCTAGCGTTTCAACTCCATACAACTCACAAAAAGGTGACATAAAAACTATTATGTTAAAAATATATATATATTCATGATTATATTAACCTCTCGGACATAAGGGTGTTCTCATGGTAGCACTCCAGAAAAGCTGTTAACCAATAAAAGTGAGTTAAATATTGTATCTTAAGAACTGTGCACGTTTTTCAATTATATAGAGATTTTTAGAACAAGAATAATAGATCCTTTTAGTTCAAATGAATTAATATATATGATGATATCCTTTATGATTATACATAAATGTGCCTTATTTTTGTAGGAGTAAATACAAGATTATTTAAAAACTTAAACAAAAAATAAGTACATGGTTTAATTTTACAAAATGGTTTACACAGAGCACTGGCTGGAGTGGCTCAGTTGGTTGGGCATCACCTGGCAAGGCAAAAGGTCACCGGTTAGATTACAGTCGGGGCACACGCCTGGGTTGCGGGTTTGGTCTCCTATCAGGTTGCATGTGAGGGGAAACTGGTCGATGTTTCTCTCTTACATCAATGTTTCTTTCCCTTTCTTTCTGACTCCCTTTTCCTCTCTCTAAAATTTTCCACAGAATGCCAGATTGTTACTAAAACAGAATATCTCCCAAACCAATCAACTTTATCACCCATGTTACTAGTTAGAGATACAGACAAAACATGGCTGCATTAACAAACAAATGTGTTTATTAAAAGCAAAGGATTTTATTACTTTCTATAAAAAATAAAAATAACTGGTGAGAACTAAATGTGCCTCCTTGTCAATACAGAGCAAAACGACAAATTTTAGGCAATGGTTGTGCACTTAAAAGAGCTATGTTGGCAAACAGTCACTTAATGTTAAATTAGCATCATTTCTGATGTCTGGCTTTAAGAGGAGTGACAGGGGAATGATTGCTATCAGTAAGACTCAGGCACTGAGAGAAATGATTAGGAGAGAATAGTTTTAGCAGGCCCATGTTTATTAAAAAAAATAAGATCAAAAGCTGAGTAAATGTATAGCAAACATATTAAACTAAGTACTAAATATTATCTATATCCTATACTTTAACTTGGACTTACATTGTTTATTTTGCTTTTTTTATCCCTCCCTATTTTGCTTTTACAAAAAAGTACATTGTCTATGAAAGTATAAAAGAAAGATGAGTAGGAAAACATGGGATGCTGTACAGAAAACATTCAATGGCTTAATTAAGGTTTTTTTTGTGTGTGTGCTTTATTATTATTATTATTATCATTATTCATTTATTTTGATCACTTATATAGAGCTTACTATATGCCCAGGACTGTTCCAAGAGCACAAAAATCAGAATAATTTAAATATCACCACAGCCTTTTGAAGTAGCTATTATTATAATCCTCAGTTAAAACAAGAAGAAACTTAAGGATAGAAAGATAAAATAACTCGACACAGCTAAAGGTCACACAGCTAAATGAATGGAGGAACAGGATTAGGGGGCCAGGCAGCATGATACATACTCTCTTGACCTAACCAAAATAGATAAGTAAAGGAATATATCAGAAGCGGATGCTTTTTACTTTTACTTTTTTTCTTTTTTTACACTGTCCTGGGATAGAATGGACCACCTCAGTAGCTTCTGAGGCCAATACTTTTCTATCACCACAATTACTTTAGCAAACCTGGTTCCTTTACTTTTTTTTTAAACTGAGAGTCATTTATTTCTTTTGCCATTGCCAAACATTTCCAAAGTAATACTTACCAGAAATTAACATAGCTTCTTCATTTCTCCTCCCTGACAATCCTCATTTACTGAAAGGGCTATAAGGGCACAATGGCCAATGAAAATGTGAACTTGACCTCACTTGTTAGTCTACCCATGCTAAGTCCTCATTCCTCCCTTTAGTCAACCTCTGTCTGAATTTTCTGAGAATTGCTCTCTATCCTTTTATATGCATTCTATCGTCTTTTATTCTGAGGCTTTGACACCAGATGTATTTATCTGGAGTTGGAAAGAAAAATTCTTTTTACTTCCTTAAAGCAACTTGGTTTGTTTTACACTTCTGAGGCTGGTTGTTTAGGTGAAGATGGTAAATTACCCAGACTGAACTTGGGCAAGTTCCTTGACTTCTGAGCCTCAGTTTCAGCATATGAAAAAATGGCAATAATAATAATAATACCCACTTAATAGTATTGTTGAGGGGATTAAAAAATGTTTCTAAAAGTCTTAGGATGGTCCTGGCATATAGCAGGCATGCAATAAAGAGCAATACAAGTAACAGTTCTTATTATATTGAAATTATGTATAATATTCACATTATTATAGATGTTAAGATGTATATATTTATATTTTAGTAGTGATGAAGTAACTTGATCCCTGCTACTTTAACTGTAAAGTAGTCAAATCCAGTGTTTTTATCCCTGCTACTTTAACTGTAAAGTAGTCAAATCTAGTGTTTTTACTTTAATGTTTATAGTACCTGGCATAGGACAAAACGTATAAGTTGAAGTGAAATATAATCTAGGTCCCCATGAGAATGTCTATTCTGAGTTGAAGACAGGATGTAAACAATTTCCATTCATTCATTCATCTTTTTCTCATCAAACTATTGAAAAAATAGCGATTACACATTAATAATCTCTTTCTTCTTAATATAGGCTAGTATTAATATAAATAATCATTATTATCTTCCTTAAACTGAGTGCTCACTATATGTCCCAGGCACTACACAAACCCTTTTATGCCTAGTATCTCATTTGATCATCCCTATGCTAACCTCACACAATCCTGTGAGACAGGCATTATCTCTATTCCAAAAGATAACAAATGGAAGTCCAAACAAGCTAAGAAACTTGCCCTAGTCATGCTGTTAGTAGGTCTTCAAATGAAGATAGGAACTACAGTCTTTCTGAGTGCAAAGCCCCCACCACTAACCACTATACTTCCAACAGTTGTTTATTTAAAACCAAATAATTACAGAGGGGGAATTCTGGGGGAAATGGGGGACATCTGTAACCGTGTCAATAATAACAAAAGGCTAAACACTGCTTTTTTAAAACCAAAAGGCATGACTGTTTTAATAAAAGCATACAATGTAATGGTGTATTTGCCCCTTTTTATCTGAGCGTGTCGCAGAGTTACGTGGGGGGAAGCGTCAGAGACTGAGTAGACGTGTGGAGCAAATGTTAGAATCCAACAGATATACAAGTGTGTTACCTTTAAGAACATTTATAAAGTTTGTAAGCAATTAAGGACCAAAACAAAAAGCATTCATGTTAAAGAACAAAATCAGATGGCTTGTGCATTATTTTTCTTTTAAAAACATGAGGCTGAAGTACTTTATTTGTAGACAGTTATTTCAAAATAACAGCATCATTCCTGGTTACAAAATAGAGAACCAATTTATATCCTCTGATTTCTCTCTGATCACAAATGACAAATCCAAGACTACAAAAGTCAGAGCCTCTGCCTTCTGAGTATTCAGATATTGGATTTTGAGTTTAGAAAACTCTTCTTATACCTAAGCCGAATCAGCAAAAACTGAAAAGTCAGCACATACAAGGGCAATGAAGAGAGTAATGTTCATGAGAACCAAGTTTTTAAAACTCCTACCTAGAGAAAAGTATATATAAAACTACCCATAGATTCAGATATGATAAATACTAGTATTTAAAATGTACACTGAAAAATAAATAACAATAGTAATAATATGTAGTACTTATATGCTACTCTGTCCATGCAGTACTCTAATGTGCTTTTAAGATTATATATATTTTATATGTCAGCCAAGCTACTTTTGCTATCATGGGTAAATTGGAAGATTATCTGCCCATCTCATTTAAATCTTAGAGATGTATGACTATGCATAAACCTTATGGTATTTCACTGGATTTGGCAATATACCATAGGTATAGCACTCTTACCCTCTATAAAACAGACTTCTTATGTTTTAGATACATATACAACTTTAATTTATTACTTGTTAATAGGATTATTTTGGGGGATAACAAAAATACAAAAGTCATTGCTTCTTTTCCTCACTCCCCAAAATACTCTACACATCTTAAGAAAAGCATTTTAAAGCTTTTTGTATAAAATCTAGCATAACACAATAAAATATCTGTCAAGCAGGACAAGAACTGGTCAAATTACAGAAATGCAAAGTTGTATTTTCAGGTAATAATTTCTGTATGAATTAAACTATATAACCCATTTAAGACAGACACTTGCATAAACCTAGAACACAGCTATTGGAACGTTTTTACCTTTGTTAAAATTGGGTCACATAAGTCACTACCCTTATTGAACATTTTGAAGATGCTAATGCTATAAAATGGAGGGGCTGGATAGTTTTCCATTGATTACTACTGACACATAAGTATTTGAAAATAGTCAGTCTCTCAAAAAGAGAAACCAAATTTCTCTTATCTTTCTTTTAGCCTCCCTCTCCACGCATTAGCCACGCAGAGGAAGAGTTCATAGAACTGCTAGAGTAATGGACACATGGCAATCAGCTGTGCCTAGTTTAGCAACAGGCACTAACATGAGCGAGCAAGCCAAACTGTTTCAGAATTGAACAGTATCTCTTAGAATGTGAAAAATTAATTTTCTTCCGCTGCCACATTCAGTTTCTCAGTGGGACCTGCAGCCCACATTTTCTAGTGAATTCAGTTGAATTAGAATATGTGATTCTTGTTAAGCATTCATTTATAATTCTGTTACAATACTTCCAAGGAACTGCACCCTCACAAAACTGAAGCATTTGGAGATGTTTCAGTAAGGGAAGCATTAACACTGTGCTGAATTTCTCATATTATCAAAAGGAATTCATTATATAATGTGAAGAAAAATATAAAATTAATGATAAAAGTCTCTGGATGAGAGTTTAAACCTGATTTAAGTATTTAAATTGGATTAGTAATGTTTAAAAGTAAGTGCTTTTAGAGTTAAGATATATTGTTTATATATTCAGTATGAGGGTCAATTATTTATATACATATACATATAGGAGGTCTGTCTGGAAAAAGTCTAGCCATTGTTAATATAATAAGAATAGTTTGCATGACACTCATGTAACCTGGCAGCCAAGGAGAGTGGACTGGAATGTGCATGTGTGAAAAATGATGACTTCACTGTACTAGTCAGTGGGGGCAGTAGAAGCCATTGAGTGAGCATGTGTACTGTGTGGCTGTCACATTAAAAATGACTGAGCAAGTGCAGCAATGAATGTGCCTTAAATTTTGCATTAAGCTTGAACATTCCTCCATGGAAACTATTGGGATGATTCAGAAGGATGTAACTATGGGCAACTGGTGATTGGCAGCTTCAGCACGACAACACACCTGCTCATGCAGCACACCTTGTGCAGAATTTTTTGGCGAGACATCAAATCACCCAGGTGACTCAGTCCCCCTATAGCCAAGATTTGACACCCTACTTTTCCCAAAACTAAAATCACCTTTGAAAGGGAAGATATTTCAGACCATTGATGAGATTCAGGGAAATATGACCTGGCAGCTGATGGCAATTGGGAGAACTGTGTGAGGTCCCAAGGTGCCTAATTTGAAGGGGACTGAGGCGTCATTGTCCTACATACAATGTTTCTTGTATCTTGTATTTTTTTTCAATAAAAGTCTCTGTTTTTTATATTACATGGCTGGTTACTACCTAGTATTATATATAGAATCTCCTTGGCTTTATTTCTTAGATATTCATTGGCTATCTCTCCTTGAGCATAGACTTAGTATAATCTTTCTATAGAAACGTATTTTCATGGAAAGTTATGCAAACAACATTTTAGCTAAAAAGAAAAAATATTTGGAGTACAAGAACCTTAATTTTTCTATATAGACTGAGAAATGAATAGCTATGTATTATGATGGTTCTACATTATGTGCATGTAGCACTAACATAATATGTATATATATTTCTAGTCATAACTGTCCACAGTTCCAAATAGATCTCCATTAACATAAGTAAATATCAGCTAAGTATTTTGAAAAATAAGCTTATATAAGATATAATTTTTATATTTTTAACCATATATTGTATGATTTATTTGGTATTAAGTATCCAGAAAGGGCAAATCTACAGAGATTTAAAAAGTAGGTTAGTAGTTGCCTGGCCTCTGGGATGGCAACCAGGATTGACTGTAAATGGGCATTGGGGTTTACTGGGGTGACAGAAATATTCTAAAACTTATTTTCATCATTTAATATACTTTTGAAATCCAATTAACTCTGTGAACTTTTAAATGACTATTCCTAAAATTAGAATAAACATGAATGTTTAGTAATTCAGTTTTAATACTATGTCTTATCACCTTTCAATGTTCATATTAATTAATCATATTGTAAATTTTCTTAATACAAAATGCATGTTAAAACTGTACTTTCACATACACGCATATACATAGGTTTATCTATCGTTTATTTGGATGTCACATCTCCTAGTCCAGATCTAACTAGCACACTATGTTTATAAACTTGTATGTGTTCATTGGTCTCACTCCCCTACTAGGTTTGAATGTACTAAAGGACAGAATAAATGTCTTCAATTGGGTTTGGTTTTGCAAGCACATCTCTATTATGGGGAAGAGATCTGACTTTAGAATAACTTACAGAAGTAAAGCAAGACTTACTGTATGGAAGGGTAAGGTCATCGTGGGGGGGACCATAAATGTACTGTCATAACAGGGAGATGCACACGAGGACAACGTGAGGGTCACCTGTGCCATCACGGCGTTCATGGAAGGCTTCCTGAAACTAGTGCCAGAACTGGACCCTGGAGGCTAAGTAAACCAATCTGGCAAGGCAGTGTGTGGAGGGCATTTTAGGACAATACAAAAAACACACAGAGAGACCCAGAAGCATGAAAAGAGCATGATGTCTGTGGCATAACCACAAGCACAGATAGTATATGCTACTAAATATTTGACATGCTTAGTGACCAGGGGCTAAGGTTGAGGAAGAGAATGTAGTCAGAAGAACATCAAGGCCCTGCATGGACTTTATTCTTTTGGCCACAGGAGAAAATTAAGCATCTTCCTGCTTATTTATGGTTGCATCTCAGCACCTAGCACAGCAACTTGCTTGCACTTTTTCCAACACAGTCAGAGATCATTTTTGCCCCTATAATCACCTTTAAATATTAATGAAATATAGAAGACTGTCAACGTAAATTATATTCAGAGTCAATCTATCGGAAAATCTACTAAAATGAAGCTCAGAATATTGACTCATATCTGAAACTAGGTGTTGGTAAACAGTATTGAATGAATTAATAAGTGAGGCCCTGTCTCTGGGCGGGACTGAATGAGAATGAAAGAATGCTTTTTAAAAAGGAGAAGAAGGAGAATATTAGAGGAGGAGGAGAGGACAGAGAAGGAAGGGAGTAGCACAAGACTTAAAATTTAAAAGTAATGGGAAGAGTTTTTCCCAGGTCAGAATCTTACTGATTACTCCTCCCCGAACTCCTGCCCCGCACCCCTGCCCCGCCCTGCCATGCTATCAGGGGGAGCCCCGCAGCAGCCTCTCACCTGGGCAGGTACACTTCCACTTTTTGCTTCTTCACAGAGTTTGCCCATTCTTCAATCAGCTGTGCTTTGACCAGTGGCTCCAGAGTGGCCAGTGGAACTTCCTGTCTGGACAACACCAGCATCATACTTATCTCATCTCCCTCATATGGTATTTCTAGGACTTGGTAGATACCACCAGCTTCATTGGAACCATCACTAAATTCCCCTAAAAAAAATCAAAGCTCCACATCAAAGCCTAAACAAAATGTTTAAATTTGTTATAAAGCTTTTTTTTCAAAACAGTGTGTAGAATGTAAGAAATTTAGGCATCTGAGAAACAGAGAGTTTATTTAAAAATAGACCTTGAAATTTAAGTGAATCCTAAGCCTTGCAGAATCTATTTTATTTTAGAATCCCAGAATTATTTCACATTTGTCATAACATGTTCTCTAGACTTGGTTTTTATTTTTAAATAAGACTTCAAGTGAATACAAATTTAAAGGATATTAGTAGAAACAATGAAAATTTCTGATTAGAAAAATAAAGTCCTGGATCCAATGTTACATTTACCGATATCCACCTGATTACTAAGAAGGGAAAAATGGACCGTGTAATACCTGGTGTTCTATTAATATCACAGCTAAACGTTTTGAGGCCAAGGCAGCACAACCAAAACGAACCCCGCTGCATTCTACAATAGGTGTCTGGTGCATTGTGGTGATTATCACCTTCAAACTAGGTGATTAGGTAAATTAGATAACTGGCTTTGTGTTCTATAAACTTAGCTAAATTGACTAGGCTTTCATAAACAAATTAGTCTTTAAAATAAATGGTCCTGCCATGACTTTCGAATTTTCCCCATTTAAAAAAAGTAATGCTTTTGTTGTGAATATTTTCCTGCAATTGACCTAGGGCCTTTTAATATCACATTAAACACCTTGGTTCTCAAATAAATGGTTATTTTCTATTTAGTATTGACTATTAATTTGATTAACTGTGATTATAATCTTTTATTTTTACAATGTATTTTAAATAGAATAAGCTACTAGTTCTACCATACATTTAGTTTAAAATTACACTTCTGCTTATGAAAACAAACTAATCCAGTTTAATATAGAGTATAAGAAAGATTAACACCTGAAACTTCTAAAAAATCCAATGAGATGTCTATGAAGATAATGCCAAGGATATTGAACTGTATCACAAATTACAGACCCTCAATAATGAAACTATGAATGAATAATTATGTCTGACCATACATACACAAGTGTGAAGGCACAATCTCAAAAGAATATTTGTGATTTAAGAAGTTGTAAGGAGTCAAATCGAGAGCTGAGTGGAACATACGGATCACTGAAAACTACCCAAAGCCAATGGCTTTTTGTAGTAATTGAATATTCTTACACAAGGTCAGGTATTTTTATGTGAATAAAGTCATTCTGCAGGTGTGATTACAGTTACAAATTAAAGAAAGATATTGAAAAGCTGTCAATGCACATAATATTCACTCAGGGTCTAATCAGAGGCTTGGAAAATGGAGCCAAGGAAATTGAATTGTAATTCAAACTAGATTGACAAGAATTTAAGTAATGAATGTTTCATGTTCTTTTTAAGAAATTTGTTGAACTACCTCAAAAAGAGAGAAATAAAAGCCAAAATGTCATACCATAATAAAATTCTCCTTGTTGATACATCATTGGAATTTGGACTTCACTTTCATCATCTTTAGTGAAGGAAAATGTTCTAGTATTTTCAGGTCTAAACTGTGACTTCCAGTTACCCTTGAAATAGACAGCACTGATGAGGGCCAGATGAGTGGCAGAGTCAAAATCTCTTGGGGACACCAAATCTTTAAACAGACCTATTCAGAAAAAAACAAATGGATTAAAATTCATATTAAATTGGAGGATGAAATGGGACCAAAGATTATCAAACTACCATCTGATAGAGTGTTACAGAAAAACTATATACTACTACTAAAATTAAAATAAAACTTAAAAGTACTTTACTCTCAAAAGAAAAATGTTCACACATACAATTATAGCTTCAGGGCATCTAAAATACCCACACCACCTAAAATAACACAAGGATCTTAATACTTGCACAAACTACAGAACCATATACAACAGAATCTCCAGCTTCAGTACTTCCTAGTTGCAATGATACATGTAAAACTCTTAGCATAGTAAGCACTCAATAAATGTTTCTAACTTTATTCTTAATCATTGTACCAGATTAAAATGTCATTCAATGCAAACATGCCTGCATATACATTGGATATCTTTCTACCAAATACAACAAGTACTTTTGACTTGGTAAAAACAGACAAGCGAAATCCAGTTTAACCTGTGATCTATGATGCCTCTTTATTTATTTACTTTTCCACACATGCCTGGACCAGGGACTGATACCTTCTTTTCTAACACTTGAGATGTTCCTTTCCAAATCTGTTTTGAGAGATATTTTGTTGATTGCTATGTGTTTAAAAAGAGTTTAGAAACAAACAGCTTTTAATAACTCACTCTATTCCAGGTAGATTCTTCTTCTTTTTTTTATTGTTGTTCAAGTAGAGTTGCCTCCATATTATTATTCTTGACTTATTCTTTCAATGTTACAAAAACAAACGTAAGTTTCTTTTATCTTACATTTTAATCTCATAGTTGAAAGAGTGACTTTAGTGAATGGATCATAGAGAAAAAGTAATATAGAGAAAAAGGACCAAATTTTGTTCTGTATTCTCTCATTTTATTAACTACAGCACTTCTGTGCTTACAAAGGTGCTTTAGCATTTTAAGGATTTATATGTTGCAAGCGTATATCATCAGGGTTTTTTGTTGTTTTTCCAACATAAAATGTATTAGATCTACATTATTTATGGAGGTCAACAATATGAATTAATTTAATGAAAAGCTGTAGTAAATACACTTTAAATTTGGTCTCACTTTTTAATATTCTAATTTCAATTATTTTTCATAAAATTGGAAAATGAAATGATAAAATATGAGATACCTGGAAAACTTAAATACATTTCAAATATATCAATTAAAAGTAAAATATAGAATTCATGCATCTTTTCCTAATTTCTTTGCATTTATTTGGGCCTAAAATGGGATATCCTCTTTTAAAGGAATCCTAAAGAGTTTTTTGATTACTAAGCAAGTTCTGTGGTTTAAAAGCCAAGAAAAATGTTTAAACTCTGACTTTTAACTCTCTTATTCTATTTTAATAAGATACACCAACTGCCATTCCAACCACTATCTAATTCATTAGTAAGCTCAAGCAAAATTTCATATAGTAGCTAAATTACTATACAGAGAAAACCCATCAAATGGAGAGCACAAGATTTCAGATCAATTTATCAGTGCCAAAATTCTATGTGTACCAAAAAACTAAACTTATTTCTCAAATGTTTACTCATAAACAGTACTTCTAAAACACTTTAATCTACACAAGGTAATTATAAGATACTCAACTAAATGTTATCTAATATTCAAAATGCAAAAGGAACAAGGAGACAAATAATATCAGAAGTAAGAGAAAGTCAAAACTAAACTATTTGGGAAAGAAAAGAACCAAATGACGTACTATTTGTGTTATTCTCCACCCACTTATTGATATGGTTGGCCACAGCAATATTTTCACTGAAGTCCACATGATTTACTTCCGCATTAAAATATTTTTTCATCATTTGCAAAAACTTATCATTGATGTGAAATTCATTTTGCACAAAGAGGGAATTGGCAATTTTCATCACATACTGGCTCTTTTCAGCAGTTACCATGTTAGAAAACTCCTTCAAGAAAGAAAATTCTTCACCTGCAAAAAGACACAGGGTAAGTTTTTTCAGTGGAACAAACATGGAGAGTGAAAGAGCAAAACACAGCAAGGACCCAAAGGAAAAGCACTCCCTTACTCCCCAAACCTGACATGGCGAGGGGGGTCAATATTTGTGAGATTTCTAATGTTCAAATTAACATTTTTGCAGTTTAGTATTATCAACTGATACCGCTTTCCACTTCAATCAATATCTTGGTAGAATCTATACAGTCAGATTTTTGGTTGCTTACTTTCAAAGTACTTAGGTTACTTTCATTAAATTAGTCTTATGTTTATCAGAAATAAGAAGTAAGTGTAATTATTTAGTTTAAAAATCAAATTATTTCTTAAAATTTCCTTTTAATAGACTTAAAAACTCTTACAACTAGAAAATCCATTAGAAATTGTTTCAATTCTTAGCTTTTTAATGAATTAACTCACATGTATGTTAGAAACATTAAAATAGAGATCTTACATCCTGTCAAAGTGATTACATAATACATGTTGGCTACAAATTTTCTTCAATAAATATAGTCTCATAATAATGCAACATTTCAAAAAAGATTCTTAGATGCTATGTAAACAATGAAGATACAATTGATTTTAAGCAAAAAAATGATATTCTTAGAGAATCATATTGCTTTTCTTTATAGCATTCATCACAGTTGTAAATTTTCATTTATTTACACAATAATTGATTAATAATATATGTTACTCCCTCTAGACTGAAAATTCCATTAGAGCAAGAACCATGTTTGCTTTTGTTTATAACAGTGAGGTTTATTTAAATAATAACATTATTATTAACAATGATATATAATTTCTGTAGATTAACTCAGCCTGAGACAGAGCCTGGAATTAGCTTCTTTCTTGGGTTTCCTAGTGTTTCTCGTGGCCACACCATCTCAATGAGATTACTTTGTTACTGTGTGTAAATACAGCTGCCTCTGGCATAAGACAATATAACTGAGTTGAAAGTTAAAGTTAAACCATCCTGAGAAATCGAACCTTACCAATTTTCAGGCTGTCATATCCCATTGAATGGCGAACTTCTTTCAGGGTAGATCCTTGGGCCCCAAGTTCCATCATTCCCATTGCAAGGGTGATGCTCAATGGAGAGAAAAGAATATTTTCATCTTCCCCAGTGGCTCGGAGGTTATTATACATATTCACTGACAACTCTGCAATGGTTTCCTCAGGGGGAGTGGCTCCTCCAGCCAGACTTTGCAGAACCAGCAAAGAGAAAAGTCCAAGGAAAGCCATGTTGGAACAGTTTCAATCCTGGAAAGCAGTAATTTACATGTGAATTAGCTCAGAAAAAGAGAAATATGAGTATATATTTGAATTATTTCTTAGATATGTTATAAAGTAAACCAAAAGATTTTTATTTTCTACATTGATTGATTGTATTTTTTTCCATTACCATTGAGCCCCCTTATACCTCTCCCCCAGTAATCACCACCCTGTTGTCCGCATCCATGAGTCCTTTTTCTTTTTTGCTTGATCCCTCCACCCCCTAACCAGCCCCCATAGCTGTCATCCTGCTCTCTATCTTCGAGTCTGTCTCTATTTTGCTTGTTAGTTCAGTTTGTTCATTAGATTCCACATATGAGTGAAAAGAAATCATATGGTATTTGTCTTTAACATACAGTGTTAATATTTCTATAACAAAATCCCCATTAAAGGATATGTTGGAAAATCCTGTTTTTCCAAAGTCAGTTAGTAGTCAAATGAATAACAGGCATTGCTAAGTTCTGAGGATATTCTCAGGAACAAGATAGCCCTGCCCCACCTTCTATGAGTGTAAGATTATGTATACATACATATACAAAAACCACTGTATTTTGGACCATAAGACGCACATAGGTTTTAGAGGAGAGAAATAGGAAAAAAAATTTGAAGCAAAAAATGTGGTAAAATATTTAATAATATAAATAACATAATATTTCACCAATGTAAATGTAAACAGAACTCAACAGCAACATTAACAACCATTATTCCTCCCAAATTGGGGGGGGGGAGTGCATCTTATAGTCTGAAAAATACGGTAATTATAGGTTGTGTTTTTGAGGCTGATTTATCCATTTTTCTTAGCTTCACCATGTATGTTTTGGTCGTATTTTTGAAACAGCTTACTCTAGCTTATTCAATACGACATAGATCCAGGACATGTATAATGGAAACCAAAAGATATTTACAGGGTTTTAGATGAACTTGTGAAGTTAGACATTTAACAATGCCATTTCACTCATTCACTAGAATTGTTCAAATTAATACACCAGGCAGCTGGGTTACCAAGTAGTGGGAAGAGATGACACACACCTGCCACAGGCCCCAGTTTATTCAGCCCAGACTGCAGAACCCACAGGAAGTGGTAACCCAGAGGAAATGTAGATTCAGCACATCCTTATCTGGTTTTCCCTTACCCACTGGTTCTCTAAGAAGCTGCTGCTCCCAGTAACAATCTCTGAGCAGGGAGGGAGGGACCTTTTACAACACCATCCTTTTAGACTCAGGATAATGTTACCATGTCAGCTTATACCAACAAAACTGGAGATTCTATTTAAATGACTGTTTCTAAATATCCAGCTCTTCTGGTTCTTGAACTGACTTCTCTGGGGAAGAGAAAGCAGCATCAGTGTCCAGATATCTCTGAAGAATATTTCTGCCTCTCAGCACACCGGTGTTCCAAAGCCCTGCCTCCTCACAAACAGCTGGACCGGCACATACTGGGGACAGGACACTCTCTCCTTGTATCCTTACGTTTTGTCACTGCAGGCATCTGGAAGCTAATTTTTTTATTTAAACAAATAAGTAGCTTACTTGTGCTTGATATACATATATTTAAATCATCATTAAAACAGCATGGAAAGTGATGTTGAGCAAACACATTTGGAAAATCATATTTCAATTAGTATGAAACATTAGTAATCCCCATTACTCAGTCAACAGAGTGAATACACTTTTAACTTAAGAATAGTGTGCTTCCAACAGATTTTTAAGTCACAGCTTCCTAATCAATCCTGTAATATTTTTAATTTCTATTTCAGAGAACTGCCTGGTTAATTTATAAGCCCTTCGCATCTTAGAGTTTAATTTAGGTATGGAGTTTTTTATTTTTGATTGAGAGCTTCCAAGTTTCTGCTCCCCTAAACGCACGTTTATATGAAACTTCAAATAATACTCTCTTGCTTAGGAAAGTAAGTTGAGCCCACATGTAAATATGGGCTCTCACAACTCATTCTGTGAGGAGGCAAAAGAGGGCTGATGTTGGGAGACCGAGTGCATTGCTGCAGAACAGCGTCGTTCATGTACGCCACGTGGGGACAGAAGCCAGGTGCCAAGCGAGCTCAGCCACCCTGCTAGTCTACCAACTTCAGCCGCCCAGGGGAGGCTGCTATGGCATTCTCTCTTCCTTTTCTACTCCAGAGAACTCCAGGAAAAGATGGAGGTAGAATACATAAGTTTTCTCCTTTAAGACCAGATGGCAATTTGGCAAGTACCCTTGTAAGTTAAAAGAGATTTTAAAACATATTCAGTATTTAATACTTACGATGCAATATTATTAAGGGGAACTTTGAAATCCAAGTCAGATCCTGAAGTCCATGATCTGAATCACCATGCTCTGCTGTGATCAGACATGCCATCTTTTAACTTCTGCCCTGTGAAGACCCACCCTTGGTCCTCATTATTTTCACTTAATGTTATCCAGTGTAAGGCCAAAAAATTAAAGTCATTCTATTACTGTGGTATCTGTCATTCAATAATACAACTATCAGGATACCACTGCATTTATCATGAACATCAAATTTCATATAAAACAAAAACTAACCTACTATGAATCAATAAGAATTCCAGGAAAACACAGCCAAGTATATTATGTTCATGGGCATTTTTATTTACAAGTGAATGTATCAGGCAATAATAATGGTGAACATATGATGTGCGACCTTTGGCCAGTCACATGCATTCTTTCAGTCTTAGCTTTCTCATTCATCAAATGAAAATACTACTTCATACTCTGCATAACGTTAAAGAAATGAATGAGGTCATGTGTGTGTGAAGCACTCGTTTTAAACTACAAGTTATATTAATAGAGAACTTTATTATTAGAAAACATGTTTCCTAGGTGTGTATATTTGCTAAGCCAAACAAGAGCCTGTAAAGCCAAAATGAGTGTGTTATCATTTCTGTTGGTCCAGCTATTGTAGCACTATTAGCCATTCATTCAATGAAGATTGATACAGGTACCATAAACATACCAAAATTGATAAAGAAAGGCACTTGTCCTCAAGGAACTCTCATCACTATGCAAAGGTGTATGATCCATACATTCTTATCTATTCTTAAAAAGAGACTCATAAGAATCAGAAAGGCAAATCATTTCTTCAGAAAAATGCACACACACGGACAACAGAATATTATATCCCCTGGTCGTGATATTCACTGGCCTCAGATTAGGAACTCCAGGTCTACGGCAGATGGTCCAGATGCAAAAATAAGTGTAGATGGACCTTCAGCCTGTCAGTGTTCTCTTACTGTGGGAAAGAGATACCAAAAGCACTAGTGCATCTTTGGGCTTCTGGAGGACTCCTGGAAAGAGCACCCATATGTTTGTGAGAGGCTCCTCCCAGGGCAGTGAGCAGCAGGCCACTGTTCCGTGTTCTGGTGGGAACTGGGAGCAGCATGGCTGCAAATAGTGGGAGTGGGTCACACCAGAAAACTTGTCAAGAGTATGAAAGCTCTGCTCTGGAAACACATATTAGCCACAGTTAAGTGATCTCTCTCCTCCTTTTGAAGGTGAGATTTTCAGTGTGCAAGTAAAATAACCTCTGCTAGCCTGGGTCAGCCTTACTCATTCCACCTATCCAACCCCTGATTCCTGGCCCCATTCACTGCTGCTGCCTCTGACTACTCTGCATCCTTTTTTTTCTCCCAGAGGAGAAGGAAAGATTGCTTTCCCCTCCGTATACCTTTTAAGCATAGATGTTTTTCTCCCTGGATCTATTCTTGACCTTCTCTCCATAATGTTCTTCTCATTCCTGCTGGTAAACACTCTCAAAACAAAGATTCTCCAACTATTATCCCAAACATGTTATTCCCAAGTAAGTACAATTCTAGCTCTGGCTTTATTTTTATCTTAATTTCTGATATGCATTGCAAATCGTTCTTGGTATATTTAGTCTTTGACTCTTGCCAGTGCTTCAAATACCAGGTGGCTCACATAGGACTCTCTCATCAATCAAACTCAGTTCTTTTTTTTCTTAAAACGTCAAAATCCTTGACTCCTCTCCATCTAATTTTCCCTTATGTTCAATAAGCTGTCAACACTTATTCCATACTGCAACTCTGTCACCTCTCCTATCCATCATCCTCTGGCCATTGCCACTGCCATAGTGACAGTTCTTTCCCTGGATACATTCTCAAGGACTCCACCAAGAGCTCTCAGCCATCCTCGGAACCTCAGGATATGGTCCTCTTCAACAGAACATATGCACAGCCTCCAGGTGAATTTTCTTGATGGGCTGTAATGAACAGTATTCCAGTGTTTGTAAAATCTCCAGATCTCCCTCATGTCTGCAGACTAATTTTGCAATATATCCCAGAATTTCCTTCTCTTGTTGCTGGATTGCATGATGCATTTTCTGGAACTCCTTCAACCTGGTTCCATATGTTCAATTCCTCACCACTCTTCAAGGTTCTGCTCCACTTCCATTTCCTTCGTGAATACCCTCCTGGCTCTTCAGTTCATCAATTTTCCCCTCTCTGAAATCTTGGCACATTTTATCTCTACCGTAGCACGTAACACTGGTCTCTTTTATTACAGACAATTCCCCTCATCTCTTTTTCTAGGCTTTTTAAAGGCACCGATGGAAATATGTTCACCTTTGTATATCTTAGGATAACCAGATACTCAGAATAAGCCCCTAATTCATTACACATAGTAGGTGCCAAATAAGTATTTGTGGAATTAATATAGCATGAGATGTAACGGCCCACATGGCTGTGTTAGAAGGAACAGCAAAAGTGACCGTTGCTTCTGAGTTCTGGAGGCTAATTTAATCTGAGCCCAAGGTAGTACCTCATTTCCATTTTTTATTCCTTTTGATAAAGTGTTTCCTTATTGAGTCTGAGACCATCTTTCCAGGCTGACAAAGTGGCGCTGTCACTAATGCTGGCATAATGCAACGGCTGGACATGGGATGCATTAACAAACAAAGTACACCACCTTGAAAAATCACAAAATGTGCTACCCAAATGTTACTGTATTAACATTAGTC